AAGATGATCATGCCTGCGGGAGATGTGGTACAAGTACCACCCTCCCGCAGACAGGATCACCCTCAAGCAACTTGAAGGTGTTCCTGTTTGCGGAGGGATAAGTCTTACCTATAAGTGGTGATCCGCGGTGTTGGAAGATACTTCTTACCCTTGGAAGATGGCTCCAGCCATTGAAAGATGACCGTCACCGTTGGGGGCTATTCGCACCCGTTAGAAATGGTCCCTCGATGTTCGCGACGATCTCCCACGATGACTGATGTCCCTGAAGTGGTCCAGGAACTGCTGTTGAGTCTATAAAAGAGTTAAAAAGTTAGTAAACGAAAAGAAAGCATTAAAGAAAAGGTTTTAAACAAAATAAATACAAAAGATTTAAACATAATTAAAGATAAAAGATAAATAAAACAAAAAGAAGTGATGAGACTAAAAAAATTAGTAGGTTCTGGAAAAATCTAGAGTACTAAGAAAAAAGTTTTAAAATAAATAAAATGTGAAGATCAGAAAAAGAAAAGAAGTAATTAAGGCAAGTACCAACAAAAAACAAGCCTACCTCTGCTGAAGTTGACCAAGGCGATCCTAGAACTTGCCGATTCCTGATTTGGGTCCTGTTCTGTGGCTGGACTGGGAAATGTACCTGAAATAATATTAAATTAGGCAAATGTCTTTAACACAAGGGTCTTAAAAGAAGTCCAAGTCGAAAAAGTTAAAATAAAGAAAATAAAATAAGTTCCAAAGAAAACTGTTAACGTAATAAAGTAAGAAAAAGAAACAAGTAAAGGTAAGTAAATAAAAGATATACTAACAAAGAGTTATAAACACTTGAGAAAAAAATTAATAAATACCTACCATTCCTCGAAGTGTCCTTGAAAAGGTGATCCTCAAATTGATCGATTGCTGAAGTGGTTCCTGTTTGGTGACTTAACTGGAAAATTCACCTAAAAAAATATCAAATTTTACAAAAGTTTTCAGCACAAATGTTTATTAAGGATAAGTCTAAACCAAGAAGATTAAAATAAAGAAAACACAACTAGTTCCAAAGAAAAATATTAAAGAAAATAGAAAAGAAGCTTTAAAAAGTAATTTTAAATTAAAAGTAAGAAAATAAAAGAAAAACAAGACAAGGTAAGTAAAAACAAGATATTAACGAAGTTATAGAAATAGAATTAAAATAAATAGAAACTAATAAAGTGTTATAAACAACCCTTTAACAAAAAAATGTATAAATACCTGTCATTCCTTAAAGTGTCCTTGAAAAGACGATCCTCAAATTGATCGATTGCTGAAGCGGTTCCTGTTTGGTGCCTCAACTTGAAGATACACCTAAAAAATATCAAATTTTACAAAAGTCTTCAACACAAATGTATATTAAGGATAAGTCTAAATCAAGAAGATTAAAATAAAGAAAACACAACTAGTTCCAAAAAAAAATATTAAAGAAAATAAAAAACAAACAAGGAAAGATAAGTAACTAAACGTTATTAAGAATATAATGAAAGTAGAATTAAAATAAATAGAAACTAGGAAAGGGATACATAAACAACCCATTAACAAAAAAGATAATAAATACCTACCATTCCTCAAAGTGTCCTTATAAAGACGATCCTCGAATTGACCGATTCCTTCTTGATTGGTGATTAAACTGGATGATGTACCTGAAAAAATATTAAATATTACATGCTGCTATATCGTCTGAAAATCTAAGCATAGATACTAATCTTTTACCCCTGTATATCTATCCCTACAGTTGTACTGTCTTTAACGATCAACATCATTAAAGTAAAGTTATGAAACAAGTATTAAAACAAATAAAAGCTAAGAACAGATTATAAAACTTCAATTTAAAAATATTATAATAAATAGGTTACAACCGCATCGTTAATGGTATAGTTTTAAAACAATGAAAGAGCTTTCAACTTACATGGGGAGTTAATTTCCGAAATTAGCCCCCAATATTACAGAATGAAGAATTTAACATTCTCCTTAAAATACAAGTTCCAAAAATTTTACCTTATATAAGAATCTCCCATTAATTTTTAAAGCAAATTTTATTTAGTTGTTTCTCAAAAAATCATGAAAATGTTTGGTTCTCTCAGTCGACCGTTCACGCGTATGACTGTTAAAGAGAGCAAGTATTCGGATAATAAATGATAGACGATCACGCTCGAAATTAGGTACATTAATTTTAACGACAAAAGGACTTTTTACCTATTTAAAAAATATTAATAGTAGAGCACAACCACTACAATAATCGTAAAGCTTTAAAACAATGAATCAGCTTTCAGCTTTGATTCGTTAATTTCAAAAATCAGCCCCAAAACACTATTAAGTAGAGAAACTAACACATCTCCTGGTAGTACAACGTTAATAAAGTTTATTTCATATAAAAATGTTAATAATTTTCAAGACTAATTTTCAATTGCTGTTACGACTATCGAAGTGTGAAAGTTTTCGGAACATATAAGTTAGAAATTACGCTTGATTTGTGTTGGAATATTCATATCGACAAAAAGAGCCTAACTCATTTAAAAAAATTCAAAATAGTCTACAACTACTTCGATAATGGGATACATTTAAAAACAATGAAAGAGGTTTCAACTTTGGCTAGTTAGTTCCCGAAGTTAGACCACAACCACCTCGATAATCGTGTAAGTTTAAAATAATTAAAAAGCTTTCAACATTATTTCGTTAATTTCGGAAATCAGCCCCCGCGTACTACTAAATAGAGAAAGTAACACATTCTCCTTGTAATACAAGTTCAAAAAAGTTCAATTTATATAAAGATTACGCATTAATATTAAAAAAAACTTATTTGTAATTTATAACAAATCAGGGAACTGTCTTGTTCCCTCGGTCGACCGTTCAAGCATATGGCTGTTAAAGAAAGCAAGTATTCGGATAATAAATGATAGACGATCACGCTCAAACTATAGGTACACTAATTTTAATGACAAAATGATTTTTTTCCTATTTAAAAATTAGTACAGATAGACCACAACCACCAAGTTAATCGTAAAGTTCTAAAAACAAAGAATCAGCTTTCAACTTCGTTAATTTAAACTTTAAATCAACCCCCACACAGTNTAAAATACGTAGAAATGTTAAACCTAGAAAAGCGCAACTAAGATTTCGAACTGTTAAACAATTATTTTGAAAGATGTTAAAGGTGAATGTGATACATAATAAAGTGGGGAATAACGTCCTGGAAACGGTTTTTGACTGCAGTGCAAATTAAAGCAAATTTCATTGTTAAAACGCTTAAAATACGTAGAAATGTTAAACCTAGAAAAGCGCAACTAAGATTTCGAACTGTTAAACAATTATTTTGAAAGATGTTAAAGGTGAATGTGATACATAATAAAGTGGGGAATAACGTCCTGGAAACGGTTTTTGACTGCAGTGCAAATTAAAGCAAATTTCATTGTTAAAACGCATAAAATACGTAGAAGTGTTAAACATAAAAAAGCGCAACTGAATTTTCGTCCTGTTGTGCAATTACACGATTATCTATAGCAAATGGAGAGGATGATAGCATAGCAGTTGTGTCTACTTACATTTGTAGAAAATGCTGACTGCAGTTATAATCCTTTTAAAGTTAATCCATTATGTGCGAATTTTCAAACGATTCATTTCACAGATAAATTTACTACCACTCGAGAACAGATCAACTCAAACCATACTAACGTAAAGCAGATTAAAAACGTGCAACCTTGAATCATATTGCTTAGGACGTAGCAGGGTCAGTCGATAGATGAAATATTTTCTTATCTGTTTTTGTACATGCGTTCTAATAAAAGAATAATTGTTTCAGCAATCAAAAATAAATACGTGGAATTCCCAAGAAATATTTTACAAGGAATCTTTAAGTGACATTATTAGTTATTTACAATTTAAGATACACTTCTAAAAGAAAAAGAGAAACAATTGTTTTTTATTCATATTTTCAATTCAAATTGCAAAACTTAAGATGGTTTAAACTTTTAAAAATTAAACTAGAACTAATCAATTTTACTGAGCCATCTTTTGGGGTCACTATTTGAAATTATTTTTGTCATTTAATTCACAAAGACTCCCATGTATTTATAAATGTACCCCTTTATACTATTTAAAATTTATACTCCAAATAAATTATTATATCTTTCTTAATTTAAATACTTCTAGCAATAATATAAATAAAGTCCGTTCTGAAGGAACATAGGCAGCATCTTTTGCTGACGACAACCAAGTANTTGTCCTCTCAGTCGACCGTTCACGCGTATGACTGTTAAAGAGAGCAAGTATTCGGATAATAAATGATAGACGATCACGCTCGAAATTAGGTACATTAATTTTAACGACAAAAGGACTTTTTACCTATTTAAAAAATATTAATAGTAGAGCACAACCACTACAATAATCGTAAAGCTTTAAAACAATGAATCAGCTTTCAGCTTTGATTCGTTAATTTCAAAAATCAGCCCCAAAACACTATTAAGTAGAGAAACTAACACATCTCCTGGTAGTACAACGTTAATAAAGTTTATTTCATATAAAAATGTTAATAATTTTCAAGACTAATTTTCAATTGCTGTTACGACTATCGAAGTGTGAAAGTTTTCGGAACATATAAGTTAGAAATTACGCTTGATTTGTGTTGGAATATTCATATCGACAAAAAGAGCCTAACTCATTTAAAAAAATTCAAAATAGTCTACAACTACTTCGATAATGGGATACATTTAAAAACAATGAAAGAGGTTTCAACTTTGGCTAGTTAGTTCCCGAAGTTAGACCACAACCACCTCGATAATCGTGTAAGTTTAAAATAATTAAAAAGCTTTCAACATTATTTCGTTAATTTCGGAAATCAGCCCCCGCGTACTACTAAATAGAGAAAGTAACACATTCTCCTTGTAATACAAGTTCAAAAAAGTTCAATTCATATAAAGATTACGCATTAATATTAAAAAAAACTTATTTGTAATTTATAACAAATCAGGGAACTGTCTTGTTCCCTCGGTCGACCGTTCAAGCATATGGCTGTTAAAGAAAGCAAGTATTCGGATAATAAATGATAGACGATCACGCTCAAACTATAGGTACACTAATTTTAATGACAAAATGATTTTTTTCCTATTTAAAAATTAGTACAGATAGACCACAACCACCAAGTTAATCGTAAAGTTCTAAAAACAAAGAATCAGCTTTCAACTTCGTTAATTTAAACTTTAAATCAACCCCCACACAGTATTATATAGAGAAACTAACACATCTCCTGCTAATACAAAGTTAATAAAGTGTATTTCATACAAAAATGCATTAATCTTCAAGGCAAATTTTTAGTTTCTGTTTAGGACTATCGAAGAGAGCAATTATTAGGAGAATACAGGTTACAAAGTACGCTTGATTTGAGTAACACTATTCATATCGACAAAAAGAGCCTTACTTAGTTAAAACCGCTCAAGCATACGACTGTTAAAGAGAGCAAGTATTCGGATAATAAATGATAGACGATCACGCTCGGAATTAGGTACACTAATTTTAACTGCAAAAGGACCTTTTTCTATTTAAAAATTATTAAAACTAGACCACAACCACCAGCGTAATCGTAAAGCTCTAAAAAAATCAATAATCTTTCAACTTTAATTAATCAATTTCGTAAATCTGTCCTCATATACTATTAACTAGAGGAGTAAATACTTTGTCCTTGCAATACAGGATTAAAAAAGGAGCTTGCTTCATAAATAAAACGCATTATCCACCAAGACTAATTGTTAATTACTGTTCAGGGCAATCAAAGGGAGCAAATAGTCGGAAAATATAAGATACAAATTACACTTGATTTGAGTTACCTACTCATTTAAAAATATTCATAATACACTACAACTACTTCGATAATGATATAGCTTCAAAACAATGAAAGAGCTTTCAGCTTTGCATCGTTAATTTCCAAAGTTAGACCCCACATATTACAGAATGGTGACGCTAACATATTCTCCTTGTTCAAAAAAGTTCAAAGAAGTTTAATTTATACAAGGAACAAATTTTGAATTGCTGTTTATAATAAAAATAGGGAAATAAGTCCCGTTCTCTCAGTCGACCATTCAAGCTTACGACTGTTAGAAAGAGCAAGTATTATGAGAATAAAACATACATAATTACTATAGAAAGAGAGCTTAACTTATTGACAACTATAAAAAGCTTCATTACAGTTTAGAAATTTGAAACATAAGCTATAATCGCCTCGATAATGGTATAGCTTTTAAGCAATGGAAAGAGCTTTCAACTTTAGTTCGTTAATTTCCGAAATTAGTCCCTATATAGAGCAAATGTGCAAATTATCGTTTTCTCTTTGTAATAACGGACAAG